TCAAACCCAAATGTTTGCGGTCCCTCCCCTAGAATAGATTCCTCAAAAGGTCTCTTGTCCATATTAAGGAGTTGCAATTGCATAGCTGCCAGAGTGTTACTGAGTTGATCATACTTACTGTTTATGGTGGTATTCATGTTTCCCAGCTGGTCTTTGACATCATCACTGATTTGTGTCATGCGGTCCTGTAATTTCAGCTCAGATGCTTCCCTCTTCATGGTTTCAGTTTGTACAATTTGATCCAACTTCTTTTGTGCTTCTTGTAGGTCTTTGAATCGTGTTGCTTCAGCCATGGTGCCGAGGACCCAAAGCTCTGATACCAAATGTTATGGGCTTACTTAATTGTAGCTTTAATTAGGAAAATTATGTATGGATTGTTCTGAATTAGAACCAGAATTTCAGAAATGGGGGAAGGAGAGATAGAATTAGGAGGGAGAAATAGAAAGAGTAGCAGACAGAAAAGAACGAGGGAGAAAATTGTGTAACTGCATAACTTGTCCTCTAGTGAGGAACATTTCTCATTTTAATAAAGGTTCACATGGGCTAACAAAACCCTAATACATATAACACTGACTGGGCTAAACAGAGGCCCAAAAGACATAAACAAGAAGATACAAATAACATAAATAAACTGTCTTAAATATTTAACTTCTCGTCCCAATTTGGAGTCTAAGTCCAAGTGAACGAGATCCATCTTTTCTTTATCATTTATCGTCCTTTGCCTTCTTCACACAAGTTAAACCTATCTTGTCCGTTTCTCCGGCCATTCCTCCTCCCGCACTTTCAAAGCTTCTCATCTCCGGCCTCTCTCCACCCAAAAGTTCTAACCTTTTCCCTTGAGTCACAACACTAACCCGCACCACGACCACAACACCAAATTGCCCAGAAACGGCAAGAAAGTGCTACGGCCCCAGCCCTAACCCTAAATCGCCTGGAGACTGCCCGAGACCACCGCACCGCCGCAGCACCACCCCGACCAACACCACTGGCAGATGAATGGACGCGACGGCCCCTCCGACCCAAAATCCGAGATGAATGGGAGTTAATTTTGGAAAAGTTTATTTGAGTGAGATTTTAATTTTTTATTTAAATAATATTTAAAATATAATATTGATCAAGGTTAATGTGATATAAAAGTAGGAGACATGTTATTAACAATAATAGTTAATTAAAATTATGTTGATGAATAGTGAGTTAAACATAATATGATGGATGATGATGATAATTGATCTGATATCATTTAATTATATTAATAATATTGAGAATAGTTAGATCAAGTTAAATTTGAGCTGAATTTTGAGTTAAAAGTTGTAAAATAAAAAAATCTAATAAAATAACCTAGAAAATTTTATATCCATTCACGTCCTACATTCTCTAGCCCCTTATTTCTCTCCCGCCCTTAAACACTAAAATTACCCAACAAATCCTACATTCTCTCACCCCTTATTTCTCTCCCGCCCTTCAACACTAAATCACTAGGGTTGAGCATGAGATTCGGAGAATTCTGAACCGTTCCGAAAATCGAACCGAAATCACTCCGAACCGAAAAATATCCATTGACCGTTTGACTTTCTCCGAACCGAACCCAACCAAAAAAATAATTGGTACGATTATGGAGATTTCACAAATATCCGTATCTAGAACCGAACCGAACCTCCCCGTACCGTACGGAACTGAAGAACCAAAATTAAGAACCGAATTATAAAAATAGATGTGTGTTATTCATATATTTTATGTCAACTTTGATCCTATATAATTCGAGAATTTTTTATACAAATAAAATATAGTAATAACAATTAAGATTCACTTAGATTTCATGTTTAGTAATACCTTATCTACATTTGAATTTTTTTCTGTTTAAAAAAAATTAAAATGGAATGAAAAGTTAAAGATTTAAAAAAAATATATATTTAAGCTTTACTTAAAGTTGTCGGTACTTGCTTTAGTCTATCTTATAACTAACATGGTATGGAATGTTAAATAAATATTACTTTAATATAAAACTGTACTATATTTTGTTTGAATTTTAAATTTTCAATGTTAGTTGAATTTAGTTTTAACTAAAATTTAGAGTTAATTCTAAAGTTGATTTAAAAATAAAATCTTTAGTATGATTAAGTATTGATGAATGATAGATTTAAAAAAATATATAAAAATAAAATATAACTAGGTGGTCATTAAAAAAAAATTAAAAATGATAAGAAATCTTTGAATATTCGAACCGAACCAAACCGAACCGATAGCCCCAAAAACCGAACCGAAGCAAAAAATAAAAATCTCCGAACCAGATCGAACCGATTTTTTGGTACAGTTTTGGAAATCGAATTTTAGTTATCTCCGAACTTCAGTACGGTTCTACAGATTTTTGAGATTGATAAATTTGCAGAACCGTACCGACCCATACACAACCCAAAAATTACACAACAAATCCCACCGAGTCTGTCTTTCAACATGGTCCACACTAGCATAAACAAACACAACCCAAATAGTGCCACTTTCCTACTCCAAAGAAAAGCATACATCAAGGCTAAAAAAGTTATTTTCAGTCTCAATTACAGTGATTTTATTAGACCAGCATAACAAAATACTACCTTTAGTACCCATAGGATTAACATACTCCCACCTATTATTAAAATTTAGGTTTTTATAGGCACTTTCGACAAAAGCTTTTTACTTTTACTTTCAGATAAGAAAACAAAATTAGAAAGTAGACCCTAAAGGTTCCTCCCAAACTTCTACAATTCCACACCAAAATTCTCATTCTAAATTTTGGAACCAATTATGACTTTTCCTCCACCTTATTTTGAGAAGTATTCACAATCACTTGTTGTCTTTTAGATTCTTATTCAATCTATTAACCTCTTCAATATCTTTATCAACCAATTAAATCCTAATAAGTGGGGACTCAATCTGATTAACCTCTACAATATCTTTATCAACCAATTAAATCCTAATAAATCGGAAGAGGAAAACCAACCTATATCTATAGTAATATAAAGAGGTTGTTGGAAAAATACAAAAATAGTAACTTTGACTTTAAAAATAATGTGTTGACTTACTATTAGTAGAAATTTTGAAAAAAGCACATGTGAATCTTTAGAAATCAAATTTAAGGGAGATATCCCAAAAAATGTGGAGATTAAGGTAACAAATTTGGAGATTATTAAGGTAACAAATTTGGATATACTTATGCCAAAATTTAATTCATTTCATAAATACGAATCTCATTTTTATTGGTAACAAATTTGGAGATTCTTGTGCCAAAAAATTGAAATTTTGAATTGAGATATCCCAACAATTACGAATTTTTTTTCCATTTAAATTAATGTTTCAAATCAAACAAAAAATTGTTCCGAGAATAATGGATGTTGTATTAAATATTGATAAACTCCAATCCTCTATAAATTATTTATATTTGTGCATTTTGTGTGTAAATATATTGTTTTTTTTCTAAATAATACTAAATTACCTTATTTTAGAACCTAAATCCTAACTTCTTTTCTATTTTTTGGTGGTTTATATTCTTTAATTGAAATAATATTTGACTTATTTGATTAAAACAACTTATTTTCTTTAGGAAATAAATTTAAGTGAGATATCTCAAAAAAATTTAAGATTCTTAAGGTAACAAATTTGGAGATTCTTATGCCAAAATTTACTTCATTTCATAAATACGAATCTCATTTTTATAGGTAACAAATTTGGAGATTTTTATGGCAAAAATTAAAATTTTGAATTGAGATATCCCAACAATTATGAATTTTTTTTTCCATTCAAATTAATGTTGCAAATCAAACAACAAATTGTTCCGAGAATAATGGATATTATACTAAATATTGATAAACTCCAATCCTCTATAAATTATTTATATTTATGAATTTTGTGTGTAAATATATTGATTTGGTTTTCTTAGATAATAATAACTTACATTATTTTATGACCTAAATCTTAACATCTTCTCTATTTTTTGGTGGTTTATATTCTTTAATTGAAATAATATATGAATTATTTGATTGAAACAACTTATTTTCTTTAGGAATCAAATTTAATGAGATATCCCATAAAAATTGGAGATTCTTAAGGTAACAAATTTGGAGATTCTTATGCCAAACTTTAATTCATTTCATCAATACGAATTTCATTTTTATTAACAAATTTGGAGATTCTTATGCCAAAAATTGAGATTTGAATCAAGATATTCCCACAATTACGGATTTTTTTTTCATTCAAATTAATGTTGCAAATCAAACAAAAAGTTGCTCCGAGAATAATAGATGTTATACTAAGTATTGATAAACTTCAATCCTCCATAAATTATTTATATTTCTGAATTTTGTGTGTAAATATATTGATTTGTTTTTCTTATTTGATTGAAACAACATATTTTTAGCCATATAATCATATAATATAAAAAATTCACGACTTAAATATATATCCATGAATATATAAAAACGCAAAACATTTAGCTGTGAATAGTATGTAAAATCCCGCCTAAAATTTTTGTTTTTACTGATAATAAATTTATTAAAAAAAGGGTAAATTCCCACCTAAAGCACAAATTGATTTATATTTATATATATATATATATATATATATATATATACAAAAAAAGGTTTGAAAATTCGGGCAAATCTCTATCTATGGATATTTTTTTGTCCATATCTATTAAACTACAAAATCTTTTTAAAGTTTGGAAAGAATCTCATATTATGTGAATTCCTGGTAAATATTTTTTTCTCCATATTTATCTAACTACAATATCTTTTTAAAGTTTAGAAAGAATCCATCTTTTTAAAGTTTGCACTCAATCGATCCCTTATATAAACCCCTCCCCACCCAATTACAAAATCCTAAGTTTGAGACAAAAAAAAAATCAGTTAGTCACAAATAAAAAAAAAAAATCACAAAAAACTCCTAAATAAAAAATTCAAATCAACCTATCGAATTCTAGGATTTACTTCGACATAACAATCAGCAGTTAGCCCCGCCGCTGAATCGTGATGGAGCTCTTCGTCGACGTTGTCACGACGACCGACGAGAACTTTTGCGCCCTATGCACCAACGAGAAGGACGTCGGCAAATATGGCAATCCCCTCCACCACAAAGCGTCATCCTTCCATCGTGTAATCCCCAATTTCATTTGTCAGTGCAGTGACTTCACTGCGGGTAACGACGGCAAGTCGATCTATGACGCCAAGTTTACCGACGAGAACATCATGAGAAAGCACACCGGGACCTGTCGATGGCGAAGGTTGTTCCGGGGACAAATGACATGTACTTTTTCATCTGCACGACAAGGACGAAGTGGCTTGACAACAAGCACGTGGTGTTCGGGCAGGTGGTGGAGGAGTACGACATATTGAAGGCGGTGGAGAATGTCGGGTCAGGGAGCTACCGGACCTCGAGACGGGTGGTGATCGTCGACTGCAACCAACTCCAGATCTGATGGTTGTGTGTCGTTTAATTTGAAGTTTGTTGGAGACTATTTTCATAACTACCTAATAATTGTCTTCTGATTTGTTAAATTTGAAATTAAAAAATAGTTTGTTGGATACTTTTTTTCATAACTACCTAATAATTTGTCTTTTGATTTGTTTAAATTTGAAATTAAAAAATGAAGTTCATGTCACGTTCGTAAGACTCTGGAAATCATATAAGAATTTTATATTATATGATCAATTAGTTCCTAAAAACTTGGCGCATATATACAATCATTTTTCAAAACTTAAAATTTTAAGATTACATATAAATATTTCTTCAAATGGTCATATTTATCTTTTTAAATTTATTAAAGTTTTAAAATTACAATTAAATATTTTTTCAAATGGTCATAGTTATCCCAACACATTTTATCACACTAAAAATAATATATTACGATTTATCACACTACAAATAATATATTATAATTTAATTTTTTCCACACAAATGTTTGAAAATTTTAATTTCTTGACAAGAAGGTTTTCCACAAAATAAAACATAAAATATTGTGTATAGGGAATTGTTCAACAATATATGATTTTTCATACTCTGTATCTAATTTATAATAAAATGTTTAAACTTTAGTAATTATATTTAAAAATAAAATTTTAAATAAGTTTTGAGGAACAAGCCTCACCGTGCATCGCACGGGTTGCTCACTAGTATATATAATGAGAATTACCATTTTTTAAAAATAGAAAGTCAAATTTCAGTCAACATTAATTACTTACCATTCTTAGTAACCTTTTTTTTTCTTAATAATCATATTAACAATATATTAAAAGAGTGATTAACATGCTTTGTTATATAGATACGTGATTTTCACTTAAAATTGAAATGGTAACAGGCTGTGTTCATTAAAAATTGACAACATGTTAACAAGATTTTTTAATTTATGAGGCTTTCTTCATAAATTTTTCAACATGTAACAGCATGTTAACCATTTTTCAAAGCCTGTTAATACATTTCAAGTTTTAATAAGAATTACCATGTGAATATGACAACAATAATTGTTTATTAATTCATTTCAATTTTTAATATTCCCCAAACTTCAAATAATCATATTAGCAATACGTTTATATGACAACATGTTTAATGATTAATGAATATTTATATATCATTTTATTAATATTTATGTGAATAAAATAATTTTTTTTTATAATTTTTATTAATGTACAGTGAATATGGTTTTCAGAATTGAACCATCATCGAAACGATCAAGTTATTCTATTAAATATTTGTAGTTTGTTCAGATTTTAATTTATAAATATTTTAATATCAATATATATACATTTTATATATATATCTAGAGTACTTTTTGTAATAAATTTTAATAAAATGTGTTACTTAAATATCTAAACAATTTATAAATTCAAATGTTAAAATTAATTGATAAACAGTTTATAAATCTCTATTTTATTTAAATATGTAATTTTATTTAAAATAATTTTAAATGTAACAAAATTTATTTAGAAAATCGTAACGATCATACCAGTCCAATCGACTGATGTTGACGGATTCAATAGTAAATATTTTATTCAAGCGAACTACACTGCTTATAACCCGGTTCTCGGTACATCCGGTCGGACTGTGTCCAACATGGTTTAATTTAAAAACAATGTGTAAATCATAATTAATGATATTATATATTTAATTTATAATATAATCGTAATATTATTTTCCTGTGCAACGCACGGGCCACGCACTAGTGACACATTCAAATCAACAGTTTTGCTATGAAGCCAACAGTTAGCCTACCTTCTATATACGACAAGTAAATCATACCATATTCTCTGATTACTTAAATAAATACTAATAATTTTATTAATATGATATGGTTTACTTATTATATATAGAAAATTGATTCACAATAGAACCACTTCACAGCAAAACTTTCCAAACCAAACTACAACACACGCTAACATCACATACTAAAAGTAAAAAGAACCATCCGATAGAAGCATATCCCTGCCGCCCCCAGATTTGGATCCTGAAATCAAGATGAAAGAATCTATTGTAATTATAAGGATGAAGCAGCATTAAAAATAATTTCATCTTCACCATTTTATTCAAATTAACACAGCACTGCACATGTCAAAATCCAAAACCAGAGTAACAACATTATCCCATTCTTTATTGGTTTCAGACGGGTAGAATTGATACATATTTAGTTTGGATGGCCCAAATTTTGTAGCAGGACAAAAAATAAACTAAAAAAAAATATTTCCCCACCAAAAAATAAAATAATAAAAATAATTAACATAGTTAGAAGCTGAATAAAGGTATAATGCGCATAATATAATTTTATTGATATCTACTGGGATAATTTAAAAAAGATAAAAACAAACATAATGAGATCGAAATTGTAAATTCCCTTTAGCATACAAACATACCTCAGATTAAGAAGTCCAACAGGAAGAATCCGAGATAAAGGAGATTGGACGCTGAAAGGGATAGCCATGTAAAAGAACAGTTGGTTGACTCGTTCCTTCCGTGATGTCCGGAGCCACCGCCAGTGCCGCCTGGGAGCCGCCGCCGCCACGGCCACCGCCACCTCCACCGCCCTTGCCGCCTGCAGCTATGGCGGACGTCCAGAGTAGACAAATGATGATAATAATCATGATAAAATTTTCTTCATTTCCATAGATTTTTTTTTTTCAACCGTAAGAAAGATCTCTAAAGCATGATTGGATATAAATTTGTTTTTGTTTTGATTGGAATTTTTATTTGGGTTGGTTAAATTTGAAAAAGTAGGTATGGTTAGTTGTTAGTGGATATAATAAAATAATATTTAAAATAAAATGATTAAAATTAAATTGATGTAAAAGTAAGAGAGAGAAGATATGATGTGATAGTTAGTTAAATTTATGTGAGTAGATGAATAGTGAATTAAGGTTGATGTTGTGTGTAAGAATGATTGATTGATATTATTTAATTATATTGATAATATTAATGATAGTGGGTTGAGTTAAAGTTGAGTTAAAAAAAGTGGTTGAGTTAAAAATGAAAAAAAAATTGGATTGAACTTGTATCCAATTTTCAGGATGAGCAAAGGAGAAGTGGCCAGTAAGAGTTGTTTGACAACACAGACATGGATATTGTCACCTAGTGACAATATAAACGTGTTCAAAGTGACCCCAAGTTTGTTCCTAAATTAAAGCCTAATTTTCTCAGATTATATTTGTGAAGAAGACTAATTTCACATTAGTTAGATAAATGTAGTTGATGTGAAATTAGACAAAAATTCTTGTTGTACTGATAGGCGGGTCGACCAGTCATACTTTTTTAATAAAAATACGGATGTGTACTATAAAAATATCCTACTTTTATTTATGTTGTTGGGTTATTTGTAAATAAAATCTTAACCTTTTGTCTAATTACATATAAAACTCAAAATTTTCAATTTGGTAAAAAAATACCAAACCTTTAATAAGTATTGCAATTGTGTCTCAATCACATTCTGCCGCCGCCAACCGCGACCCGCCGACGGCCAACTTTGCCGGATGTTGAAATTTCTTATATGATCTTGTAGCTCTCCTCCATGCCGACAACATATCCGAGTTTCACGAAAAAATTCCGACAATAAGGCTTCTAATTTTCCGGTCAAAGCTCGTAGATCTACAAATTTTCTCCAGCGTTTTTTCACAAATTCCCGGTGACTCGCTTTGACCTACGTGAATCCGAAGGTACCATTGAACTCCTCTTGCAAAGCCGCATCTAGTGACGTCCACCTTCGCCGGAGCCGGTGACTTTTTCCAGTGACAACTTTTCCGATCATCTCCTTATCGTCGGATTTTTTTCGTGAAACTCATGTTGTCGGCACGGAGGAAAGCTACAAGATCATGTAAAAATTTTCAACATTTGGCGAAGTTGGCCGATGGCGGGTGGTGGTTGGCGAAATTTTCACCTCCAGCAGGCCTGGGGAAAAAGGCCCCCGTCAGAGACAAGATCTCAAAACGGTCGTGGAGGGCCACGGCAGCCCCAGGCACAGCCGGATGCTGTATAGCATTGTTTATGACGTATCTGTTGCCGTTGAGGATGCAGACACCGCGCTGGTACCAAAATATATTTTTCTATTTTCATTTTTTTAATAATTTTTCTAATTCATATGTAATAACTTTATAGATAACTCTTTTGATAGATATATAATTTTATTAAATTTTATTAATAGTTGATTTAATTTTATGCTAAAAAAAATAAAAAAAAAATTATTTATTTTATATCTGCAATATTGATAACAAATCGAAACTAAGATGATTTATTTGATATATTTTATATAATATGGATATCAAAACGAAATTAAGATGATTAATTTGACATATATATATGAAAATCTGACAAACAAATATAAAAGTAACTTTCAAATTTATTTATAATTTAAGTTAGTAAGCGTTCTATAATAGTCCCTTAATATGTATGGATAGAATTGAGATCTACACGAATTGTCAGGAATTGACACATATTACGAAACACCATAATTCGAACCATATAATTTACAAAGCACCATAATTTGACACATAGCGTTAAAACACTATAATTCGAAACATAAAAATTACAAAACATCATAATTCGACACATATGATTACAAAATACACGTGACGTATGTAAGAGGAAGTACGTCAGATCTATAACTGTTATTTGTTGAAATCTCAATAATACATAATTAAAGGAAAAAAAAAGAACAATAATAATAATAAACACAAAATCGTTTGGCAAATCATATTAGAGAATGATGATACTATTGCCAAAAGGTGTTATACACTTCCCTAATTAATTGTAACTGCAGTTGAAAAACACTTGTACTCAATAAACATGATGGCTGCCTATACTCGGGCGGGGGCAAATGTGCATGTCACACGAATGATACGTTGGACTCCTCCGGGCTCGGGATGGATCAAAGTAAACACTGATGGAGCTGTCAATGGTACCAGAGGATGGAGCTCTGCGGGTGGATTACTTCGGGACGAGACAGGACGTTGGATTGCCGGATTCTGTCACAATTTAGGCACCTGTACCATTACTGGTGCTGAGTTGTGGGGCTTATTTCAGGGATTATTTTTGGCGTGGGAGATGGGATATAGGAAAGTTGTTGCTGAGATTGATAGTCTTAGTGTGAAGAAATTGGTGTGCGAGCCCGACGGCGATCGGGGACCCCATGATGCAATGGTTACCGCTATCCGGGAGTTGATTCAAAGGGATTGGAGTCTTAATATCCAACATATATATAGAGAAGCAACCTTTGCGGCTGATCACATGGCGAGTATGGCGGCGTCTTTCCCGATTGGAGTACATCGCCTCGTTCTCCCTCCGAAAGGATTAGGTGCTTGGCTAGATCATGATAATATCGGGGTGTCTTATCCCCGGCGAGTATTAGCTTAGGCCTTTGGGCCCCTTCTTTGTACCAAAAAAAAAAATAAAATAAAAGCTCAATTATCATATTTTTTCGGCATGCATTTAGCGCCTGAACCAAACTCCACATATAATTAGTAAACATGGTTATAAGAATATTGTTTAATGGAAAAAGTTCAATATTTCTTTTTTTTTGGTACATTTGTAAGAAAGTTCAACATCCCGGATTC